CTTCCTAGGTAAACTCTAGTTTTTAAATGAAAAATGCATGCCAATACTTCTTTTAAGGCAAACAGAATTGCCCACAGTGAGATTATATTCAAAGAAATGACAGTCCCAACACAATCAATGTAACAGTAGTAATAAAATATTGATTTTAGTAGAAGATGATAACATGATAAAGCCAGCAAAAACAAACCAACAGAGGAGGAGAATAACATTCATTCATCTATCTCTCAAAACACTCTTTTCAAACACTGTAAAGTAGAATTAAAAAATCTCTAGGAGTGCTGTTTCTCCAAAAATAAAGCAATTGTGCATATGTCCATTTGTTTGTTAAATAACATTCTTTTAATAAAAAAAAGACTATAAAACCAAGCTACTTCAGCATGTAAAATGAGGGTTTTTACATTTTTAAGGGAAGGAAATCTTTAGCTGTAAGAAGGGAGTGGAGCATCCATGGCATTTCCAATGGCAAACATAGTAACAACAGATTTTAAAACTACAGCTTCATTTAGTTTATTTTTTCGATCTCACACCTTGACAAGGAAGTGAATGTACAATGACCTAAATCAGGTTTTTTTTTTTGTAGGAGGTAAATGTTATTAATGTTTCTTTTAAGAAGACTTCCTCATTTTATACTCTTAAATGTGATTCCCTTGTTTCATGGCCTATATTTCACAAACATATGACAGATGGCACTAACTGGCCTTACACACTAAAATAATGAACTGTAAAAGGAACTGCTAGGAAATACCCCAACCATGTACCTTGTGCTGCTGATCGCCTGAAAATGCTCTTCTGGAGTTTGTCTAAAATAAACAATTTTGAGCTTATACTCTATATGTTCAACAGTCAGCCATCTACTTCTACTGACTTTGGAAACTTGTCAAAGTCAGTGACTATTTATGCTCTTTACTTTGCAGACATACTGTATGCTGCAGTTTAATTACATTATTGAATTCTTCTGAATCACATCAGCACCCTACAGCAATTAAAAGACTCCACACCCCAAATGCAGCTTATGACTTTCCATTATGGTTAATCTCCCAAAGATACATTTCTTCATGTGAGGGAAAAAAAAAAGCGCAATAGTGATAATATTAATAATGAAGTCTGTGTCTGTGTGAAAGTTTTACAGAAATGATCGAGAAAGCAATATAATAAGCAGTTATTCCTGATAAAAATGTCACTCACTGATTATTCAAAATGGGTTTTATAATCATACAGTTTATTAAAGGTTTACACATTTAGGAACAACTGTGTCAAAACAGAAGAGTACAGCATTAAGCTTTGTGACTTCTCAAGATTTGCTCTCTCCACAGTGAATACCTGCTACTGCAATATGAGTTCTGGTATATTTAGATACTTTCCAACTATTTTAGTTTTCTGGAGTTTATAATGTTTGTTTTCCTGTGTCATCCTGAAGAAAATCAATTCAGGCTGTAATCCAATCCTTTTAAACAAAATCTGTTTAAACAAATCATTGCTGTTTTTCAGAAGCTATTGTTATTTAGCGCCACTAGCATAGATTGGATTTGTTTTGTCCAGAACAAGCCCTTTGCCATAAAAGCATTACCTTATTCCACCCAGCCTCTCTCTGAAATATCTCCTGTAGACTTGAATTACTAACACTGTTCATTCCACACATTTGCTTAGAAAGAAAATAATTTGAGTAAATTAATTTATATGTTTAAGGAATTTCAACACCAGCTGCAATTTTTATTCTCATTTTGTACATCAAAACTACAAATACTGTTGGCACTTCCAAAGCATGTATGAGTGAATGTTAGGAACTGCAGCTGGGACATATTCTTGAACTTGAGCAATAACCCAGGGACCTGGATCCAGAACCCACCTTTGCTCAGCAAATTAACAGGCTTTCTTCCACTCATGCCCTCTCTGTCACACCAAACTGGTGCAGTTGGTTGAGCACCTGACAGGCACGGAGGAGCAGGGACCTTTGGCTCCAGCTGGGCTGAACCAGGGCCTGCAGTGGGGGTCATGGGAGGGAGACCAGGAGCATTTGTGGTGCCTGACACCAAGTTTCTGTGCTGCTAGAGTATATAGTTCTTAATGGCTTTCACAGATTTAGGTATCTTGGCTTTTCTTCTAAGGCATACAAAGGGTGTTTCAGATCCCCTTCATGCCCTGGAGAGAAGTGATAATTTTTCTATAGACATCCACTCCTTCTTTTAAATTGCAATGAGTAGTTGTTTTGGCAAAGCTAAAGTATGAATGATCCTTTATGTTCAGAACTGAAACAACTCAAATACAGGTATGGGCACAAGAAAAAATGCTGTTATCTCCTACAGCCTGTATAAGGAGTCTTAAATATTGATTGGTTTTTGAACTGAATGGCATTTGAAACCCACCATGATAATAAAAATATAGAGGGAAACCATAGGCATGATTAAATGGATTTTAACACACTACAGTCAATTACAGAATTTCCCTAACATATTTATCACTAATATGCAGTCTCAAGGTTAGTCTGAGACACTTCAGATCATTAAAAGTATTAAAAGACAGAAGCTCTTAAATGACTTTAAATATAACATAACATAATATAATAGGTCACACTTTTTTATTATTATTATATGTAATCAGAAAAATAAACCAATATGTTTTACTTCCATTCAACTACATATGGTTTTGAGAATGTTGATACCACTCTGTGTTTTTATATGCATAAGTTTTCTGCTTTTTTGACTTCCAAAGCAATATAATTTCCTCAGGGTTTTTGTACTTCCAGCTGTTAATCAATAGTTGTGACAAAATATCAAGCCTCAATTCTCCCTACAAAGGCAGAGTAATATCTATTTAAGCAGGTGCAAAATTGACATATGCAAATTTCTTTGAGAACCACACAGTTAACCCAGTTACAGACAATAGGCCCATCTGCTTTTAGTCAAAATATTTGCTCCTTTTCTCCTTAAGACTTTATTTTAGAGACATCATTCACAATTGAAGTTAAATTGAAGTTTCAATCCCAGTGGGTCTGTCGGTGAAAGATCTGGCTTTAGTAAGTCTTTAGGTAAACAGCCAGAAGAACAGATCAAAAATCTATGGAGAAAGCCAAACAATTGAACAGGGAGGAGAAAACAAAACAAAACAAACAAACAAAAAACCCACCTCCGTTACAGTTCCTTAATCATTTTCAGTGAATCATCTGCATTTGAACTGTGGCCCTTGACTGATATTTGCACTTAAGCACTTGACAGAGAGAAGCTGGAAAACTTACTATGAAGGGAAAGCATCGATTTGTGGCTGTTATGCACTAGTGGCTTGCTAGCAACTAATAAAATAAGTTAGAGTAATAAAATGACTGATCTTTCATTCAGGATAACAATGAACCTTAGCAGCCAAGTGAAGTCAGACTCATTATTCTAAATGACAAGCCAAAAAAAGTGAAACAGAAGAGCCATATTTTCCACTAACCCAACACAACCCTGTACAAGAACAACTAAATTCCCTATGCCTAGGCCAATGAAATTTCAAGGCAGTATAGCAGTGACATACTTATTCAGTGCATTCCCCTTGCAGGATACTAACTCAACAAACAAGACTGTCAGTGTTCACAGAAAACTCATGGGAAGGATGATGATAATATAGCACCGCACAGGTCAAAAGATTAAGATTAAGATTCTTATCCTACCCTTCCATAAAAAAAGTGGCACCAAGACAGATCAAATATTATTGTGTCCATTTTCCTTCCCACACTCTTCCAGTTTCTGGGACTCAGCTGGGCAGACTTATGTCATTAGAAACCATTTGCGTTCCATGGACTTCCCAGTTTTCCCTTGAACCCATATACACTTTTGGCATCCATAATATACAGTTAGTTTTACAATTCTACTATGCAGCAATTGGAGAATCACTTCATCTTTCTTCTAAATCTGGCTTCTATGAGTTCCACTGGTATCTCCTGCTTTCTCCAACAGAAAAAGTACCATCTGTTTTTAGACCACTCTCACAACACTCTTAGTCACCCCTTTTCCATAGTGAAGAATCCTAGTATATTCAAGATGTGCATCTAATCACCTTTCTTTCATTTATTTGGCACATCATAGTCCTGGGGACCACAACAATATGCAATATTCATGATACAGATGAAAGATGGTTTGATACAGTGGCATAAATGTGTTCTCTTTTTCTCTATGCCATTCCCAATTTTCACTGCTATTTGATTTGCTTTTTGATGACTATGAAGCGCTGAGCTTTTCATGGATATATCTATCATATGATGTCTATGTTTTGATGAATGACCTCTGGCAGATCACTTCTCCCCACACACTCAAGAAAGAAAAGGCTTACGAAAGTGTGAATACGATTCTTCAGCTTCAGTTAGGAATATCAGTGGCAAAAACAGGAATTTGGAATTCAAGTATTGAAGGAAATCTTGTTATAAAGAGAAGAAGATAAGAAGATGTCACTTAATATTATATAAAAGGAAATTCTCAACTAAAGTAACATTGCAGGCTTTTTCATAAAACCTTTCCAAAAATAGGTTTTCAGGAGCAACAAGGCATGAAAACTAACTGAACTGTAGGAAAGCCAGAGGCAATAACTTTCTGAAGCTTCAAGTCCTATGGTTCTGTATAACACGTCAGTTATCTTCTTATTCCATTTATTCCCGGAACTAATCTATTATTTGTTGCAGACTTCTGCTTCACTTATTTGGTGTATTCAGTTGAAAATTTTGTACATTTCAGTAGTAAAAATTTCAGATGCAAGATGTAAGCAAATATTGTATGGAACAAATTCATGAATATATTAAGTCATTTTTTAGTATTCAATTGCTTATGATTACTAGTGGGTATTATATTTTATTACAAGTTATATACAGAAAAAAATCAGCTCTGTCAAATTCCATCTGCTGAGCTTATCTGACATAAAATCATACTTTCTGTGATTTTTAGTGCAGCACATTTTCTTGGATCTAATTTATGTTCCCTGCACAATTCTAAGCAGTATTAGAAGAAAGCAGTTAAAAGAAATTAGTAACTTACATGGTGAAGACATCAATGACATCTCCAGCAGATCTTGTCAGCTCAAAGTAGGTTTGCAGAATGTTGACAGTTCCTGAAAGTGCTTCATGTCCACAGCCACAGAAGAGTGCGACTCCTGCATACAGCAGGATGGTAGCAATCAAAGATGCATAGGGAATACCCCCCAGGCATTTGATGCAACACTCAAAGCACCCTGCAAGAAAAGGAAGTTATATATGTTTATGTTAATATATTACAGCAAAGAAACAGAAATAAAGTTTCGTGTTTCTATTCAGAACACATTAAACCTAGGCTATATCTATATTCATAATTCTGGTTTCTCAACTATCAGATTCCTGAGGAGGATCCTCAGTAACAGAAGAATGATAGAGAGAAGGTATCTGGTTCATTTCCCTCCCTCACCATAGCCTTATTTTTATTATTACTTAATATATACAAGTGTTTGTGTCACTTAACTACCTCACAATACAAGATGAAAATAAATGCTAAAAAGGCCCAGAATTAGAAACCTCTGTAGAAGCTTCCCAACACATCTTTCCAACTTGTTTGACCCGCAGCTGTGCTTCCTAATGGAAGATCATAGCCTAAACAGAGAACTCTGTTGTAACTAAGGAAGTTGAACAGGAAGAGGGGAAAACTGAAGAAATGCATTTATTTCGCTGCCAGAATCTTTATTTCCTCCTAAGCATTACCAATCATCCATGCACCACAGAAAGCAGTGTGCTGCAAGTAACATTTGCTCCAGCTCTTTCAGCTGTGCAAAATGTGAAAATCGCTGTTAATAACAGAGCAATGGAAATTACCCTGACCATTACAGAGCCACCGAGCTAGTGCTGCAGCACTGTTCAAGCACCAGTGCAGGACATAACTCAGCTGGATGGCGTCTCCATCTCTGGGAGAGAGACGGGTGCAGTCAGTGCTCTCACCACCTTCTTAACAAGGTAGCAAAACCACAGCCATAGAAATAATTACCAGGAAGATAAAGGAGAGTGCGTGCTGCTTTGATGTTTCTTTTCATCTGGAAATACAGGTTTCAACACTTTTCAAACTGTTCATTATGCACAATGAACATGTTTCATCTTGTGCAACAGAATTCAGCATTTATTTTACTTATTTTGTATATGTTTACCAATGTTTTCACTCACATTAAAAGTCAGATCTGCTGAAACTATTTATTTTTACATAAACAAGGCATATAACCTTCCATAAGCTATAGGAAATAACCTAAAATGCACTTTTTCCTTGGGACTTTCAACATGAAGAAAGGTATTAGTCATATCCACCATTATAAATCATTCCAAGGAGAAAATGCATCCAGAAATACATGGAAGATTATATGTCAAAGGAATGCATTTTACATGGGTAAAATCAAACTCCAAGTAATGGCTCTGTCCAGCTACCGAAATAGCACACATTAATGTCAGATTACATATATCCACATTCCAGGCAGCAAAGATCTCACAGACAACTACCTCTGGTCCTCCCAGTACATTTTTATTGTCTATATCAGGAATAGTCTTGAGATAGGAATGCAATTCACAATTTCTTCTGTAAAAGGCTTGTAAAGTACTCCTTAGAGAGGATTTGCCTAGATAAATCCGCTCACGCGTCTTTGAGATTATGTTGCCTTTTGCATGCAGGTTTTCTAGCATGTTTCTAAGCAAACCAGCCAACTATGATTTGCCTTTGTGTGTGCACACAAACTTTTATTTACCTTAAGAGAAATTATATACCTATTAAAGAAGAAAAAGAAATTATCCTCATGATTTGCATACTAATGATGCACCCAAATTGCACCACTGCAATAATTTCTTTGTGTGCTAGCAATATGTGAATCCTTTCTCCTCAGTACAACAGATAAATAAAGCAAACAGTCCATTTCTGCCCAGTACATTAAAAAAAAAATCAGACCTACATTTCACATAAGTCTATATTTCCATAAGTCTATGGAAAGTGGAGTTTAAATCAGTGATAACAGAACAAATCCCAGATTATAATTATGCTATTCTCTTTTTCATTTTTAAGAAAACTGACCAACCTCAGATTTCCATGGAAAAATAATAATAAAAAATCATAAAGAACATAGAAGGATTCTTTGAATTTGCTTTGTTTCGCCTCTACACGCATTTCTAGCTGGAATGCCTATGAAACTCCAACTATTACTGTTTAACTACAGATAACTATATAACCCAAGGTAAAAAGTACCTCAAATCATATATAATTTAATGACATGTTAATCAAACTCTTTTGCTTTCTTAAAGGCTTTTTTATTAAAAATTAGGAGAGAGGATAGCAAGACCCAAGTAATATGAAAGAGACTGCATAGACTTGAAATTGAAAAGAAACTACAAAAATCTTCCTTGCCTTTCATGCCTAGCTAGGCACGTTTTATTTTTCATGTCTAAATTTGTACCATTTGTCACACAGCTTTCATGACCAATCAACTCAAATCCAATACAGTTTCACAGGCCGTCACGAAATGTGTAGATTTGTTTGTGAATTTTGCTAAGGTATCCTTAATCTTATAAAAGAAAGTTTGAATAAATAAATACACCTATCAAATCACAGAGTGCTACACAAAAAGCAACACATTTTACTCAATCTGGTGCCATAAAAGTCAAGAAATTGTTCAACTCGTAGCATGATTTCCTGATTGGGACTTTACAGACCTATGCACAAGAAATGTTCCTAGTTGTTCCTAGTTCCTCTTTCTTTTTCATTTTATGTATATAATATTCTACCTATAAAGTAGTACACGATTTTCAACAGCACCACAATTCCAAAAAAATGTTTAAACAACATTGCCTTTTCTAGTTGCTAAATTATGCTTAGAAATGCCTGTCTCAGAACTAAAAACTTATTGCACAAAAGTAGTAAATACTGGAGTATTGCATTTGACTGCATGAGTCAAGAAAAACATTTTCATGTATAAGCATAGGAGTAGAAATTCGAGGAATTTCTAATATATTCTAGGAATAACTTTTTGACCACTCCTTGTCTCCATGGTGAAGTAAATTACATATTCATCAAGTGTATGTGTATGCAGTCTGAGGCTCTAAAATCAATCTTACTGATCAATCACACCCACAAATATAGTAGATATGAATCAGTGAATACCTTGTAAGGAATTTAAATTCATTCTGTTGAATAATGAGGGGTATTACATTAAGTTATAAAGAGAATAAATATAGACTGTTATCTTATAAAAATTGTATCTGCTCTTCCCTAACTTCCAATTGTATGATAAAAAAAGTATTTTAAGCAGCACATGGCTTCAGAAGTTTTGAGTTGCATATTAGTATTTTGTCAGCAACTTTCCTCTGGTCTTCATTCAAACTGTGTTTCAATTTTACCTAAAGAAAAAGAAAAAAGGTCTACTAGCATGCAATTTACCAAGAGCGTCACAGCACATCACCAGGCAGAAGCAATGCAGCCTTCTTGATATCGTCCCAATACAGAACAAAGAAAAGCAAAGCAACGATCAACCTTACACTGTAGTAAAAAGCTATGCAAGAACTGTGGCATATATGTCCCACATCATTGCCTTCCACTGATGGTGCAACATCCTTCCTGGAACATGTCTCCACTCTGCTGCCATACTCCTCCAGTAGCACAAGAACCATTGGAAATGAGAATTTTATCACCTTGCTGTATCAAGCATTAACAACTGCTGTACCTGTTTCCATCTTATTTAGGAGGCAGCTTGCTCTTCAAATTTAATTTATTTGAAAACAAGTTTCCAATTAAAAAAAATACCTGTAAAGCAGCAAAAATTACTTGCACCACAAAGTTAACTCCAAGACTCTGGCTCCCAAGACTATGGTGGAAAAAAAGTAGTATAAAGAATACTGGCTACAGAAAACCCCAAAATGGTTTTGAGGTTTTCTTGCAACTTTGCTAGTTGCAAGAAAATTTTATGCAGATATGCAGATATCTTCTCTTTCTCTTGCACATTCAATTCACTAACCTAACAGGATCTGCTTTGCCTTGTTATCTGTTAAGGATGATTGGATATTAGCTAACTTGTAGGGCACAGAAATTCAAAATGTTATTCTTTAAGCATTTGCAGTCATTTTACACTGAGTAAACTTTTCAGTCACTGCAGACACATGGGACCAAGGCTAAGAGGATTTGTGAATGAGTTTTGACATATTTCTATATGTCTCATTTGGACTTATTTCTATGTTGACTCTTTTGGAAAGGAGTTCAAGCATCTTTAGTCATGCATTCTCACAATTACATTAATTCACATTTGCTGGTAAGATCCCACTGGTCAAAATGGCAACTTGAAGCAATGGGGACACAGTCTGGTTGTGCTGGATTTGCAAGAAGCTGACACAAGCTTGGCTCAACATTGAACAATATAAATACAATCAAGCCATCCAAAAGAGGAGTCTTAAAGAACAATACAAACTGAAATTGTATATGAGGAATCATCTAGGGTCAAAACACATATAATTTTATTACAGTCTTTCAGAAATTGTATTTTCTGACGTAGCTAAATGCGCATATACTGGCAACTGAAAGAGTGAAGGTGGATTAGTTCCTCCTTCAGCCTAATTTGAAATCCAGAATATATTTGGAAACTACTATGCAGGCATTAAAAAAAAAAAAAAAAAAAAAGGAATAAAGTGGTTGAAAGGTAAGCAATCTATCCTAGTTCTTACTTCAGCCCAGTTCTGTCTAACGTTTTTCCTTAATAGGCTCACAAAAGTCAAATGAAATAATCTACTGGCTGGTCACCTTATATGAATGTAAGATTATCCTCTAAAGTATTCTCTTTTCAATTTTTTGCCAGTACAGTTGTACTACAAACATACATACATACTGATGTAAGAAACATTTTCCTAAATAATATACATGCATTTACTCCTTGAGACCAACTGTCTTCAATTAGTGAGAATTGGAGTGACTTTATTTAAATCAATTCCTAGAGAAATTGTAGTTGGAAATCTTAGGATTTTAATGCCCACTTAGGTCAGAAGTCCAGTGTGAACTCAAATGTATCATGAAGTGCAAGTTTTGTTTTGTTTTATGTTGTTTTTTGTCTTAAGTTTGCAATAAGGCACCACCAATAATGAAAAAGGCACATTTTTTTAAATGGGAAAAACACACTAATACCTTCAAAGACCTGCTTTACAAGCCCAATACCTTTTTTATAGTATGTGCATATATAAATTGAAAAGTTCTTTC